GGCGGCCCCCGCAAACAGCGCCGGCGGCTTTCGTCGCTTCCTGCGTATGACCGCGGGCCGCCGTTCCATGTTCCATAAGGCCCCGAGAACGCTGACGAAACCGCACTGCGAACGAGCACCCACGTTCGGAATTGATGAAACGGAACAATGTCTGCCACTTTTTGCGGTAGCTTCTTTGACGCTGGAAATTAACATTTTTCTCTGTTTCCTCGCTTTGTACAGCCCTGTAAAGCAAGTTCTTTTGTTTCAGACCGTGACACCGGAACAATTTAAAAATGGCTGCCATGCGGTGCAAGAGAGAGGGAGAGAGGAAAAGTTGAAGAGAAAGGATTTCAAGTGGAAGGCTTGGTCGGCCAAGCCAGACTTCCAACAAAGACGCTCAATGTCAATGTCGCCTGCGCGTCGCAGCGAGGGAGAGAGGGTCCTTCCGAAATATTTGGATGGCGGCGGTGTAGAGGGGACGGACCGGGAGCGGGGCTGTGGAAGGGCGAGGCAGGCGGGGCAGGCGGGGCCGGAAGGCCTCTGTGAACGAAAGGGAAGGATGAGAGGGAAAAGTAGTAGGAGCAACACGTGGAGGGAGGATGTCTGAGATTCTACGGAAGCGCTCAACACGGACGACGTGAAAATGATGCAAGAGATTACGTTGCCCTCCTTGCTGGTGCAGTGGACTTTTAACTGAAATTTCAAATTAACGAACAAATACATTTTCCAAGTAATCACTAAAAAGTAAATATTTTTATAAGTTATTAAAAGGCACCTCTCTCGAGTGCTCGATGTTGCTGAGGCAGGAAAGCCGTAAGTTTCTGCGACCGAACAGTTTTGGGTTCGAGTACAGTAAGTGGGCATGCGAATTTATGTTTGTTAATTCACCTCTTACAATAACCCATCATCATTATCATCGGGCGTTTTACATAAACTAAACCTTTTGGTTATCAGCTGACGCTCCCTTCTCTCAGTTAATACCCCGGCCTTATTACACCATACGCTCTCGGATCTAGCCCCTTCCTAACTCACTATTGACTCGTAAGTCAATTGCGGCCGAGTACTTATTCCTTGCGCTTGTGTCTCATAAGCCCGTGGCGGCGCTTGAACCCATTTACATTTAGGGAGGTTCGGTGACTGAGAGAAGGTGCGCACGTTAAGGCCCTTAATCTCATTATGAAGCCTTCTCCCTCTGACACGCAAGCGGTCCCATTCATTCATCACGTGCATATACAATTCAGGCCGGGAGAGGTCTGGAAATGAGTGATACATGGTGCTAAGATCAAGCCCCACCATGTCACAATAGTAATGTAAACATCCATGCCTAGAGGGATTCGAACCTGAAGACCTCCACAGTTCACGGCTACTGCCGTAACTACTCCGCGGCGGGTCTCAGCTCTCTCATAATTACCCTTTCATCTGCTATTAATTACTTTTAGAGGTAATGACTGCAGATTGAATCATGGAGTCAACTCTATAAGTCGCTTCTCTTCGATGCTGACATATTTATGCAAGAGAAAGCGATTCGTCACGTATAAAATAGACAAAATGATAATATATGGCATTGATACTTTAAAAACTTCCTTTATTGATCCCGCTTCTTCTCCCAAATATGCTTTGCTCCCTAGTTTAGTTTGGAACTACCTTTTATTCTTGGATATCTATAAAATCCGAGCTTCTAATTATCAAAATGTCAAAACGTCAGTGTAAAATGTTGATTCCAAGAATTGGTTTGAACAAGATCACTAGGTTTCCAACTACAGATCAGGAGTGGGGAAGGAGCGATCTCGGGTTAGGTGACGTACAGGTTGCAGAATTATATTCTGCGTAAAGCGCAAATTGTTTGTTTGTAGTTGTTGTATGGTGTGAAAGTCGAAACAGTGTTTTTCACATTCAATTGCTTATAACCTCAATGCTTAATGTTCTAGAAAAATAAGGATATTTCTGTTACTGCCTTGCTTATGTTCAGAAACGAACCAGGAACTTCAAGACTTTGCGTCATACTGTATGTGCACACCACATTACATTATACTGTATTTCATTGGCTTTCTGGGTGACGACGCGTCCATGGCAAAGGTGCCGTCGTTTCGGTACGTTTCGGTAATGCCTGAGGTAGATGGCGACCGAAACGTCGCCAATACGATAATTTGCAATACGATAATGAAAATTATTGTCTAAAACATTAACAACCTGCCCTTAACAGTCGTATAACTCTGCCGTTCTGGTACTCGGAGAACACCAAAGACGGGCTCAACAGAGAACCCCAGAATAAATTGCAAAATAATCGAAGGAAAAATCGGGAGAATGGCCATTGTCTGCGTGCAGGCTAATGAACGCTGACTCTGCGAGTGTAAGATAGTAACTCACACACCTTACTATCGCGACAAATCACTTCTTATCTTGAATGTCTGAAATTCTTTTATTCCTCTAAATAGTGTGGTTTTTCCTCCTCCGAAAAACAGAAGGTAATCATTAACTTCCGAAATAATTAATAATTAAAGTCTTTATGTATCCAAATCACTATGAACGTATCTGTAGATAACATATTATAGATAAATGGTTGCAGTTGTCAGTTTTCATATCACGCTCTTATTTATTTCGAAACACTGTTTTTACGTAAACGTTATCTGCGCTGTAAACACGTCACAAATTACTGACAGTGTTGACTTGGGGGCACCAACGCTGTTTCTTTCCGTATATTTGCCTAAATGAAGGAAAAAAGCGGACCGCTTCATTACAACTAATGATCAATTAATGAGAAAAACAGTATTATCTTTTGGAGCTCCAAGATACTTTAAACATAGTTAACTGTAAAATGAGTATTTGAATACATCCTGGATGTACATTGTCCTCTTATTGTGAAATTCAACAATTTGACACTGAAGCAAAGGAGGTTGAATTTGCGTATAGGTGATGTGAATTACATGCAAAGGTTTGTAAAACTTGCGTGTATTTGTGAACGTAGCGTCTCGCACAAAAATACAGGGGTGATAGGAGGGTAGTAAAATGTCCACGTGAATGTCAGTCTTTTTGTACTACTTGGGTCTTGGATCTTGGATGGCGTACAGGAAAACGACGACGCCGAATAATCTCGAAGGTTGAAGATTTGCACAGTTCCCTACTCTAGAAGTGTGCCAGGCGAATGTTTGTTTCCATTATATAACGCGTCTGTCTTCCGCGCTCTACACTTCCCCGTTCGAAATACATTTGCTATTCCACATGGCATTTGTGGGTTTCTTCTATAGACGAAACACACAGTTGCCATGTGGAATAGCAAGGAAGACACTAACCCACTTCCAAAAAATCATTTATTCATTCGTTATTGGAATGTACATCGGAACTACTTAATTCACTAGAAGGTGTTAATCGACAACGGTGTTCTAGAAAGTATACCGTGCGACATTCATATTCAGAAGAGGGGTCAAGACCGCAGATCGTCAGAGCTACTCTCACTAGTAAGAACCGTTACCGAAGTCAGATGAATATGCTAACGACAAAACTTCCGTGTATGGTTCGTTGTTTTGGTAGGAGATTCTCGAAGACACATTAAAATTCACTGTGATGACGAAATATTCTCTTCCACTTATGAAAAATTGTATTTCTGGAAAGTTCGCGGCACATCCATCTAGCTGGCACGCTTCCAAAGTTCTAGTTACATTTCCGTATCATAAAAATTTGTGCATATAAGCGATACATAAAATCTTCTTTTTATGTAAAAATGAACTGGGAGAGGCTTCTTAATGAGGATTATTGATTCAAGCCCAAAGTTTAAGATGCAAGTTTTGATTGTGAATAACTAATTAATAGAAAGAATGATAAACTAACACATCATCCAATCATTTTTAATATCGTCATTTTACAAAATCCGACTAGTGGCGAGTCTGAACAGTCTGCATGACTGTAATAATAATTTGTCATTTTGTTATATTGACATAAGTTATTTCCTGATAACTGAACACATAATTTCAAAAAACAATCACATTTATTTTAAATATAATTAGTTATACTAAATTTATGGGTGCATACTACAATTTCGTATTTGTGTAGCTCACCATTTGTATTAAATGCTATAATTTTCTATTCTTTTTTAATTCTAGCCCCTTGATTTCTGCGATATTCTTAATTGTGTTGAAAAAAGGAGGTGGGGTGTATGATGTTCCACTTTATTTGCAGACGACAACAGATGAATAAAAACCAGGATGAACTGAATTTTAATGATCGAGGAACATAGATTTAGTAAAGAGGAACTATAAAACTTCAACATTCTTTCAGAAAAGCAATTCGGAATTTCTAAGAGGAAAGATTCGAAAATTTGGAAATGGAATGTTGTTCAATCTCGCAATACGTATTTTACATATTAACTATACTAAATTGAAAAAACGCACGCAAAGACAATAAACTCAGCAATATAAGAAAGAAAAGTGGAATTGAAGGAGGAAAAAGAGTTAAGGGCACTTTTGAAGCAGAGTAGGATGGAATACCCAGAGGCTTGGTCCAAACTCTAGTTCTAGGGCGATATTCAACCAGATATTGTAAGGAAACACATTTTTTGTAGATATGGCTCTGAAATGGTTGTGAGGCACAGAACGTATTGTAAAAGAGCGAAAAAGGGATCTACAGACAATGCCGGGCGAACCCAATCGGCCACTACAGGTGGAGGCAGAGAAAACCCGAGCGCGGTCGAGAAGGCTGGAGCAGAGTACCTCCATAAAACATTTATACCGAGACGACAAGCCGAACGTATTTATAAACCATAAAAAAAATTAAGGCGGAAAATATTTCTACCCCTAGCGCCTGTGCTTTTCGGAGGGCTTTCAACCCCTCCGAGCAGGAATGGCGCAACACAACAAAAAACATGTAAAGCATTCCAGGGCCATCGCCCTTCGAGTCGGAGCTGAGCGGAGCATAAATAAATCAGAGGGGCCCTTGCCCTCCGCGCCTTTGGCCTGCACGCCGGAAGCGCGAGCAGGTCACTGCCTCCCGGGCCGGCCAGCTGAGAGCTCTCCGCGAAGGGGTGCGACGACCCAAACATCCCCTGCCGCCGCTTTGTTGCGCTCAAAGCAACCCCTTCTGTTGTGACCCCCGCCCCGCCCCCGCGTTCGACGCCCTTGTCTCGAGGCTACTTCGCGGGATGGACAAGTGGGGCACGCTCAAGGTAATACACAAAAGGAAGATAAATTGGTGCTCAGATATTTTCCGTTCGTGGTTCCCCGCTTCGAAATTTCTAAACTCACCAGTAATGGGATGGGCAAATTTCGAAATTATGTGCTAACAAACAATTATGTAGACTACACTTTTTAGTCTTCAACAAAGCAAACTGTGCGATCCAAGGTTTTATTTTTTATCTCGACGTGTTTATTTTTTTCTTTCTTTTTAAAGACGCTGTTTGTGTCCATTTGTAGTATTTTGATTTTATTTTTCATTCAAACGGGATTACAATGAAATATAATTACATCACATTCTTGTATCCACTTTCTTGTTACTAATGAACTACTCTTATACCATACATTTTTCTTTTTAGTAACATACAAATTGTTAAATACCCTTTTTAATGGACCAAAATATGTTGCTAAACTACCTCTTTATCGCCGGCGAATTTCGTTGAATAACTTTCGTGGACGCTCCTTGCGGCGGTAATGGAAACTATTTAACTTCAGGTTATCCATTATTATAATATTTTTCATTATTTGTACAAAACAAATGGAATA